TACCAGAACTCTAATATAGAACTCGATTCGAGTCCAGAACTCACGTCCAAGTGCCAGCAGAGCATACCTAAACGTTGGAAATTATGAAAAAAAAACCTATTTTTATTGTTTTAAATTATTTAGAAAGGCTAGAAGCTAGAACTCTTTCGTTTATAATAGATCTGTACCAGAACTCTAATATAGAACTCGATTCGAGTCCAGAACTCACGTCCAAGTGCCAGCAGAGCATACCTAAACGTTGGAAATTATGAAAAAAAAACCTATTTTTATTGTTTTAAATTATTTAGAAAGGCTAGAAGCTAGAACTCTTTCGTTTATAATAGATCTGTACCAGAACTCTAATATAGAACTCGATTCGAGTCCAGAACTCACGTCCAAGTGCCAGCAGAGCATACCTAAACGTTGGAAATTATGAAAAAAAAAACCTATTTTTATTGTTTTAAATTATTTAGAAAGGCTAGAAGCTAGAACTCTTTCGTTTATAATAGATCTGTACCAGAACTCTAATATAGAACTCGATTCGAGTCCAGAACTCACGTCCAAGTGCCAGCAGAGCATACCTAAACGTTGGAAATTATGAAAAAAAAACCTATTTTTATTGTTTTAAATTATTTAGAAAGGCTAGAAGCTAGAACTCTTTCGTTTATAATAGATCTGTACCAGAACTCTAATATAGAACTCGATTCGAGTCCAGAACTCACGTCCAAGTGCCAGCAGAGCATACCTAAACGTTGGAAATTATGAAAAAAAAACCTATTTTTATTGTTTTAAATTATTTAGAAAGGCTAGAAGCTAGAACTCTTTCGTTTATAATAGATCTGTACCAGAACTCTAATATAGAACTCGATTCGAGTCCAGAACTCACGTCCAAGTGCCAGCAGAGCATACCTAAACGTTGGAAATTATGAAAAAAAAACCTATTTTTATTGTTTTAAATTATTTAGAAAGGCTAGAAGCTAGAACTCTTTCGTTTATAATAGATCTGTACCAGAACTCTAATATAGAACTCGATTCGAGTCCAGAACTCACGTCCAAGTGCCAGCAGAGCATACCTAAACGTTGGAAATTATGAAAAAAAACCTATTTTTATTGTTTTAAATTATTTAGAAAGGCTAGAAGCTAGAACTCTTTCGTTTATAATAGATCTGTACCAGAACTCTAATATAGAACTCGATTCGAGTCCAGAACTCACGTCCAAGTGCCAGCAGAGCATACCTAAACGTTGGAAATTATGAAAAAAAAAACCTATTTTTATTGTTTTAAATTATTTAGAAAGGCTAGAAGCTAGAACTCTTTCGTTTATAATAGATCTGTACCAGAACTCTAATATAGAACTCGATTCGAGTCCAGAACTCACGTCCAAGTGCCAGCAGAGCATACCAGAACGTTGGAAAATATGAAAAAAAAACTATTTTTATTGTGTCAAATTATTTAGAAAGGCTAGAAGTTAGAACTCTTTCGTTTATAACAGATCTGTACCAGAACTCTAATATAGAACTCGATTCGAGTCCAGAACTCACGTCCAAGTGCCAGCAGAGCATACCTAAACGTTGGAAATTATGAAAAAAAAAACCTATTTTTATTGTTTTAAATTATTTAGAAAGGTTAGAAGTTAGAACTCTTTTGTTTATAATAGATCTGTATCAGAAATACAATGTAAAACTCGATTCCAGAACTCACGTTTAAGTGCCAGCAGATCATATCAGAACGCTGGAAAATATAAAAAAACAAACTATTTTCATTGTTTTAAATGATTTAAAAATGCTAAAATTTAAGTTATTAGTATATGATGTAATTCATCTAAAAATATATGTATGTATGTATTCATCCCTTAACGTCCTACAGCTGGGCAAGAGGCTCCCTTCACTACGAGATGGATAAGGCCATAGTCCACCACGCTGGCCAAGTGCGGGTTTGCAGACTTTACATGTCTTTCGAAAATATTCTAGGTTCTCTCAGATATGCTGGTTTCCGCATGATGTTTTGCTTCACCGTAAGACAAGAGGTAATCATGCTAGTAATGATTCGCACATGAAAAAATCAGAGGTGCGAGACCCGGGAGTTGAACCCAGTGAAACGGGTTCAATTCCCGGGTCCTCTCACTCTCACTCACTCACTCGGTTTCCCAAGCGAGGGCGTTACCACTGGGCTACCACTGCCTTCTTACTTTGTAATTTGGTTTTAAGATATAACTTAATACTTTCTTAGATTTACGCGAATATTTGACATTTTAAATAAAACTATCTTTTCGGATTTTGTCGCGGATTTATTTGCATTTTTGTTTCCCGACGTTTCGAATGCTTTACAGCATCCATGGTCACGGGAGAGACTGAGATGTTACATGTCTTGAAGGTATTATAGTTGTTACAGACAGCCTACCCACAATTAACAAAATGAAAATTGCACCAATTACATTACAATATTTTTTAACTTTAAACATTTTTATAATTTTAATTATAATTGAATATGGAATATTATTTATTTAATTTTTGCTATTATTTTTATAATTATAACCATTTTAAAAAAATTTAAAATATTAATTAGTAATCTATATTTAGTATTGCCATTATTATATTTATAACCATAAAGAAAAATATAAAATATAGTATTAATTATTTAAGCCATATAATTGTTCTATGTGTAATTTAAAAAAGTTAAAGTTAATTAAGGATAATCATTTTAATTTAGTTTGCTATTATTTAAAAACAACTTACTAAGCAACACTATTACTATATACTTTTACAAATGAAAAATGAAAAATATTAATCTGATAAGCTGTCATTTTGATCCGCACAGTAAGAACTTACTACATCTACCTGTCTGTTATGTTTATATTTATTATTTGATTTTATTATATTAATAACAGGAAACAAAAATGCAAATAAATCCGCCACAAAATCCGAAAAGATAATTTTATTTAAAAAGATATAACTTTTTCAATTTTCGCGTTCCATAATTACTATATAATAGTTATGGTACTTCTCAAGTGTTACAACACATTCTTAAGTGGCTATACACCTTGTTCCCTTGTTAGCTTGTTAGGGAACAAGGTGTGTACCCATCTACGAATTCACGCGTTAAGTCCCATATTATAACCATTTAAAAAGATTTCCCTGTATTCCTAACTGATGTAACTTTTGTAATAGAATGATGTGGTCTACGCGATCAAAGCAAATTCGGAGCTAGGTGATTTTTTTTATATATTATTACACTTATTTATATACTAAGTAAAATACGTTTAAAATTTTTATTATTGCCTTCTAGCGCGTACTCAATACTCATACTAATTACTAACATTCAAATTTCAAACTTGATATTGAGCAAACGTGATCAGAGTTTGTTTTCTCGTAATTTCATACTTTTGAACTTAGTACGAGTACGCGCTAGAGGGCAAAATTTGTATTTTCTTTATAAATAAACTACAGCTTGATCCTGTCTAATTTCATCGCTTTTTAGTTCCATCGTTTACCGAGCTCCAAGTTTACTTTTTATTGTTTTTATGGATTTTAAGTTTTTCTTTGATACTAGTACGGACTAGTATGAGAATAATAAAAATAAATACAACTGTTCTATTTCTTGATTCTCCTGAATTTAAAAAGATTTGAATTCCATTAATATATATATACATTAAAAAAAACAAAAAATTGCCTTCTAGCTCGTTCTCGTACGAGATTTAAACGTATGAAAATACGAGAAAACAAACTCAGATACGTTAATACTTTTATTAAAATATATATATATGTATATATATATATATATATATATATATATATATATTATAATAAAAGTATATTTTAATAAAAGTATTAACGTATCTAAGTTTGTTTTCTCGTATTTTCATACGTTTAAATCTCGTACGAGAACGAGCTAGAAGGCAATTTTTTTTTATAATTAAACTACAGCTTGATCTAGTGTTATTTAAACGCTTTTTAGTTAGTATATATGAGTATAATAATATATAAAAAATCGTCGAGTTTCGAGTTTGCTTTCTATAGTTTTCATGGTTTTTAAAGTTGGTTTTACACTTTACGCGCTCAATGGCAACAATACATATACATATATTTTTACGACACTTGTACTGTTTGATCCTGCAAGATTCGTTTATTTTTGATTTAATATGTATTATAATATATAATATGCTATGCTGCAAGATTCAAGAATGCTTTGAATTTTTATCCTGACTTAATGATATTTTACGCTAAGAACGGACACGAACGTTACTGAATTAAAAAAATTAGTTAATAACGTGCATAGAGGACTATAAATTTCTACTACTATATTTAAAAATAATAAAAAGTAATATCTAATTGTGTCACGGATGTATTGGCAGTCGGATCAAAAAGTATTTCCGCGAGTACTGGTGGGACCGAAATATATGGAAACCGCGAGTATAAAAAGACTTTATTTCTTGAGAGTGAGCTTCCATTATTTTTCTTTTTACCGGCTTTTGCTGATTTATTCATTCTTACATTAACTATCTTATACAATGATATTTAAATATTAATATTTTACATTATTTTTACTAAAACTTAGCTAAAATAACAAAATTCGAAATTATTCGGCTCTCGTGTCGGTATTGCCGATTGATAACGTACTAGTGTTGCTTTCGCTATGGTATTACTCGAGTCTTCAATTACTCATCTTACTTTTATCTTTGAGATCTTACAATATATTTATTTCTCTTTACTTATCCTATTTTCTCTAGCGGTTATTTATTTGTTTATTTATTATTTCTAAAATAATAATATCATTTCTACAAACAATATTTATAATATTTATAACTAAATATTAGTCGTCGCTAACAAATTGCATTTGTAGCGTATTTTATTGATCGAATAAAGTTTTCAATCGTCATTGCGATTTTATTTATATAATATTTTATTTATATAATTTTTTTATTATTCCTAAGCCCGTAATAATAGCCTACAATAGCCCATTTTTCTGTAACTTTTTAACATTCATAATTCAGTAGAGTTAAAGTGAAGGCCGAAATAAAAAAAATGCCAACCAAATCGGCATACGATAAAATTGCTTTACGGCAAATTTTATCGGATGCTGCTTGCCGTGCTATTGATGATAACGGACGTCTCCTTCCACCTTCCCATGCGGTATATAAAACAATTTCAAATATGATGGCGGATAAAGGGTCGGCGATCACGCCCAAGCACATTTATACTATTATCAATAATAATCGTGCTGGTTTTAGAGATCTTATCATGGAAGTTTTCGATATTCGAGAGCGAGAACTGAGCATCTCTGTTAATGATGGTAATTACAGCAACGAAAAGTGTGCAGACCAGACCAAATAAAAATAGGTTTTTTTTTCATAATTTCCAACGTTTAGGTATGCTCTGCTGGCACTTGGACGTGAGTTCTGGACTCGAATCGAGTTCTATATTAGAGTTCTGGTACAGATCTATTATAAACGAAAGAGTTCTAGCTTCTAGCCTTTCTAAATAATTTAAAACAATAAAAATAGGTTTTTTTTTCATAATTTCCAACGTTTAGGTATGCTCTGCTGGCACTTGGACGTGAGTTCTGGACTCGAACCGAGATCTATATTAGAGTTTTGATACAGATCTGTTATTAACGAAAGAGTTCTAGCTTCTAGCCTTTCTGAATAATTTAAAACAATGAAAATAGTTTGTTTTTTCATATTTTCCAACCTTAAGGTATGCTCTGCTGGCACTTGGACGTGAGTTCTGGACTCGAATCGAGTTCTATATTAGAGTTCTGGTACAGATCTATTATAAACGAAAGAGTTCTAGCTTCTAGCCTTTCTAAATAATTTAAAACAATAAAAATAGTTTTTTTTTCATAATTTCCAACGTTTAGGTATGCTCTGCTGGCACTTGGACGTGAGTTCTGGACTCGAATCGAGTTCTATATTAGAGTTCTGGTACAGATCTATTATAAACGAAAGAGTTCTAGCTTCTAGCCTTTCTAAATAATTTAAAACAATAAAAATAGGTTTTTTTTTCATAATTTCCAACGTTTAGGTATGCTCTGCTGGCACTTGGACGTGAGTTCTGGACTCGAATCGAGTTCTGTATTAGAGTTCTGGTACAGATCTATAATAAACGAAAGAGTTCTAGCTTCTAGCCTTTCTAAATAATTTAAAACAATAAAAATAGGTTTTTTTTTCATAATTTCCAACGTTTAGGTATGCTCTGCTGGCACTTGGACGTGAGTTCTGGACTCGAATCGAGTTCTATATTAGAGTTCTGGTACAGATCTATTATAAAAGAAAGAGTTCTAGCTTCTAGCCTTTCTAAATAATTTAAAACAATAAAAATAGGTTTTTTTTTCATAATTTCCAACGTTTAGGTATGCTCTGCTGGCACTTGGACGTGAGTTCTGGACTCGAATCGAGTTCTATATTAGAGTTCTGGTACAGATCTATTATAAACGAAAGAGTTCTAGCTTCTAGCCTTTTTAAATAATTTAAAACAATAAAAATAGGTTTTTTTTTTCATAATTTCCAACGTTTAGGTATGCTCTGCTGGCACTTGGACGTGAGTTCTGGACTCGAATCGAGTTCTATATTAGAGTTCTGGTACAGATCTATTATAAACGAGAGAGTTCTAGCTTCTAGCCTTTCTAAATAATTTAAAACAATAAAAATAGTTTTTTTTTTCATAATTTCCAACGGTTAGGTATGCTCTGCTGGCACTTGGACGTGAGTTCTGGACTCGAATCGAGTTCTATATTAGAGTTCTGGTACAGATCTATTATAAACGAAAGAGTTCTAGCTTCTAGCCTTTCTAAATAATTTAAAACAATAAAAATAGGTTTTTTTTTTCATAATTTCCAACGTTTAGGTATGCTCTGCTGGCACTTGGACGTGAGTTCTGGACTCGAATCGAGTTCTATATTAGAGTTCTGGTACAGATCTATTATAAACGAAAGAGTTCTAGCTTCTAGCCTTTCTAAATAATTTAAAACAATAAAAATAGGTTTTTTTTTCATAATTTCCAACGTTTAGGTATGCTCTGCTGGCACTTGGACGTGAGTTCTGGACTCGAATCGAGTTCTATATTAGAGTTCTGGTACAGATCTATTATAAACGAAAGAGTTCTAGCTTCTAGCCTTTCTAAATAATTTAAAACAATAAAAATAGGGTTTTTTTTCATAATTTCCAACGTTTAGGTATGCTCTGCTGGCACTTGGACGTGAGTTCTGAACTCGAACCGAGATCTATATTAGAGTTCTGATACAGATCTGTTATTAACGAAAGAGTTCTAGCTTCTAGCCTTTCTGAATAATTTAAAACAATGAAAATAGTTTGTTTTTTCATATTTTCCAACCTTAAGGTATGCTCTGCTGGCACTTGGACGTGAGTTCTGGACTCGAATCGAAATCTATATTAGAGTTCTGGTACAGATCTATTATAAACGAAAGAGTTCTAGCTTCTAGCCTTTCTAAATAATTTAAAACAATAAAAATAGTTTTTTTTTTCATATTTTCCAACGTTCTGGTATGCTCTGCTGGCACTTGGACGTGAGTTCTGGACTCGAATCGAGTTCTATATTAGAGTTCTGGTACAGATCTATTATAAACGAAAGAGTTCTAGCTTCTAGCCTTCCTAAATAATTTAAAACAATAAAAATAGGTTTTTTTTTTCATAATTTCCAACGTTTAGGTATGCTCTGCTGGCACTTGGACGTGAGTTCTGGACTCGAATCGAGTTCTATATTAGAGTTCTGGTACAGATCTATAATAAACGAAAGAGTTCTAGCTTCTAGCCTTTCTAAATAATTTAAAACAATAAAAATAGTTTTTTTTTTCATAATTTCCAACGTTTAGGTATGCTCTGCTGGCACTTGGACGTGATTTCTGGACTCGAATCGAGTTCTATATTAGAGTTCTGGTACAGATCTATTATAAACGAAAGAGTTCTAGCTTCTAGCCTTTCTAAATAATTTAAAACAATGAAAATAGTTTTTTTTTTCACATTTTCCAACGTTCTGGTATGCTCTGCTGGCACTTGGACGTGAGTTCTGGACTCGAATTGAGTTCTATATTAAAGTTCTGATACAGATCGGTGATAAGCGAAAGAGTTCTAGCCTTTTACAATAATTTGAAACAATAAAAATGGTATGTTCTGACTTTTCAAAAATTCGGATATGATCTGCTGGAACTTGGCTGAGAGTCCAGAACTATTCCTGAAAAGTATCAGGAACTATAGAACTCAGCTCCTTGCGCGAAGAACTCACATTTGTTTTTGATTTTGTGCAAAATGATCTGCTACGGGAAGTTAGCAGATCATTTTGTCAATTGACTTTTTTTAAGGTAAAAACGCCAGAACTATTTCTAAAAAGTATCAGGAACTATAGAACTCACGTGCATGCGAATAGAACTCACTTTTTTTTTGATCTGCTGGACAATGATCTGCTAAGTTCACTGACATTGAAGCTAGCGCCTAGCATTCCTGTTCCTTAAACGTTACTTTAGTATAAATAGTTAAAACTGCACGATATTAACAGAAATTTCACAAATTAGGACAAAATATGTGTTTGTTTGTGTACATGTTTGATTTTAATAGATGAAGTATTAAACTATTAAATAAAAGGCAGTTTATAAAATACTAGCAGAACCCGCGGATGGTTCGCCCTAAAACTACAAAAAAATCTCTAAAAATGTAGTTTCATACAAATTTTCATTTTCCTATTTTACCCCCTTATAGAATGAATTTCGAAAAATGCTAAAACACGTATTTATTTAATTTTATTTAAGAGCAATAATACCAAGTTTCAAGTAATTCTGATCATAAATATATTTTTGGATTGTATTATAACGTGTTTTTCCGAGGGAATTAGATAATCTCCCGCGGTAAAAAGTAGCCTCTCCAGCCCTCCAACTATTTCCAAACAAAAAATAACGCCAATCCGGCACGACAGAACACATGAAACGGCAAAGACACGGCAAAGACACGGCATGAAAGAAGGACAAACGAACAAACAAACACACTTTCACATTTATAATATTAGTAATATGTATATTAAAATCAAGAATTCAGAGCATTAAACAATAAAAACCAAGTATAATTACAAATTAACTATAAATTTATATATATAGCCTCTCTACATACATATTTAAATAATATTCCACAGCTTGCGTCCGCCGACACCTTCAAAAATATCCAAACCTATTGAAAATGAAATCTGTAAAAAGTTTCATTATTTCGTTTGTGCTTTGAAGGCGCTTTTCTTTTTCATTTACTTTTATATAAGTATACATAAAACCTATTTTAAAAATGTAACGTCTATAACTTTTTTTGCTTTAACTTAATACTTTTAGCATATTGTTCTGATTACTTCTCTTTAACAATGAATACGTAACCGAATTACGCTAAGTTACATAACGAATTATCCACTCTCTTTCCTTGCAACGGCTTACTGTTATCTTCGGGCGGAAACATTAAATTTTCCATGCAGTTACGACTTTTTAAATTAATTGTACGTGCTCCGCTATTATATTCCTAATTAACATCATTTAAGCCGTAAATTCGTTTATACGTTTTGCATAATTTTGGTTTTTATATATAGGCAAAGTAATTGCATTGATAGCCGCTATATAAAAATCAAATGTATTAATTATACAGATAACACAGTTATCAATTAAAATAATTTTTAATGATATGTAATAAAACACGCACCATTCAGTTTGATTATTTATACTATAATATTAACTTTATCGATTTGTTTACATACTTTGTTTGTTAATTTGTTTTATTATTGTTGGTTACATACAAGTGCTAAAAAGCATATTAAAATTGCACTAGAGGAACTAGAAGGTTCATTTTCAAAATTATAAATATTATTATTACCTTTTCATAAAAATAAGACAGCACCCAGTGGAAACGCGCTCGCTTGGGAAACTGAGTGAAGCGGGTTCAAATCCCGGGTCTCACACCTCTGCTATTTTCACGTGCGAATCATTTCTAACATGATTACCACTTGCCTTACGGTGAAGGAAAACATCGTGAGGAAACCTGCATGTCTGAGAGAATCTAGCAAGTTTTCGAAAGACATGTGAAGTCCGCCGAACCGCACTTGGCCAGCGTGGAGGACTACGGCCTGATCCCCCCCCCCCCGTATTGAAGGGAGACCCGAGCCCGGCAGTGGGACGTTAAAACAGAAGGGCTGAATACATTTATAAAATAATAATATAATAAATAACCCCCCCAAGGAATCACCTTGTCGTGGTGGGGGGGCTTACGGGTATTAGGTACAGGTACTTATTGTTGTATGTCATAACACCTTAAACATACTTTTTTAACACTTTCTGATGCCACTTCCAACTT